GGCCCCGGTCCCGAACGTGCCTGGGGCCACGCTGGAAACCACCTCCCTCGGTGGCGGTGATGCAGAGCATCGATTGGTGGCAAAGGGGGGTTTGGGAGAGCTGGAGCACACATCGATGGGAATGGAGTTGTATGGACCTGCCAGCGCCGTGCAGGGATCGATTCCCCGGGTTGTGACAGCATTAACTGAGCTCTGCCTTTATTTTACTGCCCCTGCTTTTCTTGTGCACGTTGAGAAGCCCTGCCCTGTTACGCTGAGCTCGTTTGCCTCACCCAAACGACTTCACCTCCCTCCTGCCTGTGATGTTCTTGCTTACGCAGTTTAATGAACCATGGTTCACCAATCTGTGGTTTAAAAGCAGGGAGACCTCCTCCTTGCACAGCTCTTCCCGCTTACCTTGACCTCAGGAATCCCACCGCCCCGTTGACGTGTTTTACACTACACAGAAATTCCTCGCGTTCTTTCAGTTCTGCAGAGGGATCTCAGTGCTCAGCACCACTGAAATCCTGCACTGAACACATTTGTATGCAGCTCTTCAGGGGATGAGATGCTTTTCTGGACCGAGCAAGCCCTGCAGGTGTCAGGCCACAGCTCTGCTCCAACCACAGCAGCACAAGGACAGGAGGTTTATGTTAAATCCAGAGGCTTTGGTTACTTCTCTACCTCAGTCAGGTAATGGCTACGAGCAGCATCTCATCCACGCAGCACAGAGACGGGAGCAACACTTGAGCAATGAGGTTATTTTATTGGAGTAACGCTTGTTCTCCTTTACTGATCACCAGTTAAATACAAGTACTCGGCGTTGCACGCTGCAGGAACAGGGCAGGGGTGCAGGAACAGGCTAAGAACACAGCACAGGGGTCGCTGTCTCCTGGAAGCTGCTTCTGCCCAAAGTCTCGCGTTCAACCTGCTGATAGCACCTGGCCTTGAGACGACTGCATTCCGGGACTCGGGTTGTCCTAAAGGCTGCCTGCCCTCTAGAAAAGGTATTTCATTCTACTTAGCACCAAGTCTAACTTCAATTTTACAGTAAGTATAAATAGACATCTTTAAAATCCACGATGTGAGTGATTTCTGCACATTTACAGAGGACAAAGTAAAAAATAAAAAAATCAACAAATGCTAAAACCAGCTTTGCAGTATCCTCTGGCAGAGTCTACCAAAAAGCCAGCGCACACCGGAGCGTGTGAAGGATCCTCAGTAAAGGAGGAATTCAGGAGCCCTTGCTGATGGGTAGTTCTGAGCCTGGTAAGGTTTAACCAAGTCTCACACTGGACTGGCAAGGGGCAGCCCTGGATATGTGGGTACGTTCCTGCAGAGGTTTCAAATGGCAGCACGGGTTTTAGCTCCTTCTGCACCTTTGTGCCATGAAAAGCTGCCGTTCCTAAGGTGCGATAGCACAGACCCCTGCTCAGGACCAGCACAGACAGCGGCGGCATCGTTATCGTATTTACAACACGAGTGAAAACGGCGGGGCAGGGGATCCAGTGCAAAGGAGGAGCTGGCACCATCCAGGTGCTGTAGCACAGCTTCACCATTGATAACCTTGGCATAGACAAGAGATCCCTGAGCACCACTGACACCTTTCTGTGCCAAGCAGCCTCCTGGAAAACCACTTGTCCCCTTCAAGGGTGCAGAGATGAAAGCTCTTCTCTTCTCTCCCAGCATCAGACCGTGCACACCAGCTTCAAGCTAGGCTCCATTGGCCTTGCTGCCCTGAGACGCCTCCAGCTTAGCCTAGGGGGAAGAGGAAGTCGCAGATTTTAGGCAGTACCAATACGAAGGCTTCTTGAAATTCAGAACCTTTTTCTGAGGAAGGTATCCAGGCGAGCTGCAGGTATTATCTACTGGTAATTCCCCACACTGCCCCGCTGCCTTCCCCAGTCTGACTGCAGCCACACGTGGTATTTTGGTATTTAACAGCCCTCAACGCAGTTCTCATCCACAATTTCTCCGGTCGCTCCTTGAACTCCACAGCACCTTGCAGCACAAATGTCCAGTACAAGCTGTGTGAAGAACAACCTCATCTGGGGAGTCTAAGAATTGCGAAAGCTCACCTCTCGTGGGCGAGGCTGGACCGACACTTCTGGGAGTGGCAACTTCTCTGCTGGCTGCGACACAAATTCTTCACTCTTTAAGGCAGGAAAGAGCAGCTTTAAGTCACAGTACCCTCTCAGGAAAAGCTCCAAGTAGACCCGGTACAGCCCCTTCTCCCTCCTAAGGCTGCTCCCTGCAACGTGTGATTGCGAAAGCCGTATGGCCTCATTTCCACCATTTCCCCCATGCAATTTAACAGAGCTCTTTGGAAATATTGCTAGCAGCTGACACAATATTCTTTAATTTCTGTTGCTGCTTTTATCAGCATGGACTAATCTAAGGAATTCACTTCAGCCTCATGCTGAGAACCACATGCTCTGGCTTTCTTACTCTAGATATTTTGGCTCTTTCTGTCTTGGACAACGCAGCCCAAGTTCACTAGGGGAGCTTTAAGTCACCTTTCACTGCCTTCTCTGAGCCCTTTCGTTGTCTCTGAAGTCAGAGCATGCATCTGTAAGGCTCTGAGGCGAAAACACGTACACAGTGCAAGAACATACACTGCTTCTGTGCAATGGTGTCCAACATGGGCTTTGTCCAGCGTTGGAAAGGTTTGTTCACGCGCTTTTCCCACCGATTACAGCACTACACACTCATTTTCCTACTCGCAGGCTGCTGTTTTCTAACCTTTCTCCCTTGCACGATGGGGGCAGGATCCAGCAGGGTCTCTTGACCTTCAGGAACGGACATCACGATTTCAGCAGTTTCACCTACCTACAGAAGAACACGTAGTTCAGCACAGTCGTAACTCCAGTGCACTTGGAGGATCAAAGACCAAGATTCATGTCACAGTGCTTTATTTTATAATGTGTAATGGTTGAACTATTAACCTGCAAGTTTTATTCAAATGACTCACCTTATTCTGTGGAACCGGAACAGATTGTGGCTTTACATCTATTAGGTACAAGGCACGGGAAAGCAGGAGCAGAGAGGGTGGAACATTCTCTTTTAAATGCAGATCCAGCCACTGTCGGAAGAAAACAGAAGGAAAAGTTGTTTCATATTGGCTCTAGGTCAGTACTTATTTATATGGCACCCCTCACTTCACCTTGCTTCTAGCCAGCCCTGATGCTACTTGGTTTTCTCTTTAGGACACAATGTGGATATTTCACACCTTAGAGCTCAGCTGTGCAGGTCAGGTCCATCTAGAAACACTTGCCTGAACAGCGAAACCGTGCCTGCTCTGTCTGAACACTGCCGACCACCCTGTCCTGGGAGAAACCTCATCAAACAAGAGCGGAGCACACAGCACTTGCCTGCCTGAGCTGTTCCTTCAGCTGCTCCTCCGAGAGACCCAGTGATCGCATTCCTCTGGCTCTGCAGGCGCTCTGCAGCTCAGACACGCTCAGGCCACCGACCCCTTCCTTGGCAATCATCTGAAACGATAGGAATGCTCCTGCCTGGGCACAGAGAAAGCCAAAGCCCTGATGTGCTTGAGCCCAGAGAAAAGTCTGTTTAGGTGAACACCAACCACTCTTTACCCTCTCACTGATTTTATATTTTTATCAAGTTGGAATTTCCCTCGTTGCAAGTTATGACCGTTACCTGTTGTCCTTTTGCTATGCATCTGTTAAGTCTTGTTCCGTTTTCTACATAACCCCATTAGGCAGCTGAAAACAGGAAGCAGATTCTCCCTTGGCCTTCTCCAGGCTAAATAAATCCAACCACTAATGTAAACACATACTGAATTCAGTTGGTTAAAATCTGGTGTTTCCATACAATATTTATTCCAGAAAGGAAACTTCCCCTTTTTAGAAGTTATTATGAGTCCAGAATAAAAACAGAAACAGTGACGGTATCTGCAGTGCCACACTCGTTAGGGTTCACCAACGGCAGCGGGAAGGTGAACTCTCATTCTGTTTGTTTCTGGAGTCTCTCGTGGGGAGAATCTGACTCGATCAATATCAAACCTCACACTGGAGGATGCAGTGTGGGCAGCACACACTTCTCGTGTAAATGCAGGCGGTGATTCAGAGGGCAGAACTTGAGGTGGTGAAAAGCAGTTACATCTGCGCTATTTTAAACTTACTTCATCATCGGCCTTGATAGTTCTGAGTCTCAGCAGAAGCTGGAAGCGGAGCAGGTTGTTGGTGCCAATGGGCTGCAGCTCAAGCAGCTTGCAAAGAGCCACGAGCTGCGGCCGCTCCAGGTGCTCCAGGGTCAGCTCATCCTCGAAGAGCTTGGAGAAGCGCACAATCTCCTGGGTGCTGGGCTGATGGCCGCTGTGACGGATCTGGACAAAGCAGAGGCATCAGCAGCCAAACCTAAACAGAACCGCAGCATGTGGACCCTCTTCTCCCCCTAAGGAAGGAGCCCCTCCTGTTTCTCACACTGACATTCCCACCTCTTGGTGGAAAAGGAATGATTCAGTTAAAAGGCCAAAGTGAAACAGTGAAACCTCTCTGCAGTCATTGTACAAACCCCACATTCTCTGCCCAAAACAGCAGCACTAAGGCTGGTGTAAGTCCTATTGCTGTCACCCCCAGCACAGCCCATTGTACCTGGTGCACGTAGGAAGAGAACTGTTTTCCTTGTCCTGTGTCTGCTTTGTTCCTTTTGGCCATCTCTGCAATCGTCTCCCGCAGGAACTTTGCTAACTCCAGCTTTGCATTTAATTTCTTTTTCTGCTTTTCTTCCTTCATTTAGGAAATAAAAAATAATTAGAAGTTCCACTTGAAAAACAGAAGGGAGGGGATTCTGGGAAGGAGATGAAATAAGACCGAAAGCAAAGAGGCTGTGGTTACTCTAGAAAAGGAAACTGCTGTGCACTTTCCTACTTGTCACTGTTTACAGAGCAATCCTCAAATTCTGCTGTCCTGTCCAGGAAAAAGCTAGGAGTGTCTGAGCTAGGCGTGTGTGCGAGGCCAATGATCGCTTACAGCAGCAGGCAGGAAACAGGAGCTCTTTGAGCTGCACAGATGTTTAATGAGCTGGAGTGCACTGCCTGCATCTCCAGAAAAGACACAAACCTTTTTTGACTCGGTCTCAAACGTCGAGGGCAGCATTTCAGGGAAGAGTTTCAGGAAGACGGGCAACAGAAATTCCATGAAGGGGACAATGACGAACACCAGGAAGGGCACCAGGCGGAAGAGATCTGCGCAAGTCCTCAGCAGCTGTACAGAGAAGAGCACAGCACAAATCATCACTCGGCCAGACTCAAAACCAGCGCGTTCCAAAGAAGTGCTGAAACTGAGCGGTTGAACTTCTTTTGTTCCAGTAAGCCTCTAAACGCATCGTTTCAGCGAGGTGTTCGTATGTCTGCCACTCACCCGTCGCCTCTCCCTCCTGGTGAGGACCTGACCATGTAACAGCCTCCACACCATCCTGGCAGCCACCTTGGTGTCGATCCAAAGCAAGTGGAATCCGTTGTAATAGTGTTTCAGTTCATCCACCACTTTCTGGCGCAAAGACTTTCTTCCCACGGGCGTCTCTGCGACCTGTTTTGTTGGAGTTTTTGCAGGCTTCGTGCCCTGGTTCGCAGCACTTTGGTGGGGAGGGGGTTCACCTCGGAGCTCCTGATGTGAGCAGGCGGACGTGTGAAACATTCGCACGACTTTCGCCGCTGGCTGAGGGCGGCCGGTGCCCCAGTGCACACAGTGCAGCCATGGCTGGTTCTCAGGGTCTCTCACACAAATCCGGTTCAAATGAGAACTCACTCGCTGGACAAGAGCCACTGCTGGAGAGTACGGAGGACTGGAGTGCAAAAGAAGACGGGAGCCTCTGAAACTGGAGAGGTGTTTAAGTAAGTGATAGTGCATTGTGGCTACGGTACTGAAGCGTTACACAGAAATTCATGTTCTTGGTAAATTAATCTTGTGAAATTGATCTTGTGGCTGCCTCAGTATCTGAGATTCCCATCTTTCAACAACAGATAAAACACTGAGAACTTGTCCCATGCTAACAACTTCTCCTTGGGGGAGATAACTCAAGACTTCAGACTGCCTCTGAGAAGCCCCTCCACCAATTGCATTGGCTAAAATTTACTGGTTGCAAACAAAGAAAACCCAAAGCCCCTTCTTCTCTCACCAAGTGTTCAGAACAGAGCTGTCTGTATTTCTTGCCCTCTCCATCCCCCAGTAACATCAGCTGGAGAACGCAGGCTGAAGGGAGCTGAGTGCTTAGACAGCTTGAACTCCTTTCATAAAAGAACTAGGACTTCGCAGGCTGCTGCGCATTACGATAACTGCAGAAATCCCTTTGTTTTAGATAAACCAAACCGTGTACTTCTCACGTTTGGCCAGCACCAGTCACCCTAAATAAACTGCTGAGGAAAAGCGTTATCACGGCAGGGAGCCTGTTGCTCCCTCAGGGGTGATTATCCCCAGCCCGTTTCATCTCCAGTCCAAGGCACGACAGGAACATCGAGGCACAGGGCACCTACAGAAACCAGTATCCCCCCGTGGAAACCAGCCCCCGGCTCACCTCGTCCTGGCCAAGGCCAGGAGCACGTTGCAGCTGCAGGAGGCCATGGTGTCTTGGAGTCACCGGCTCTGGCTGGGCGCGGGCAGCACAGGGACCTTCATCTCTGGCGGTGAAGGCGAGCGGGCGGCGAGTGCTGCGGGGCCAGGCCCCGACAGGCCCCAGGGACATCACCTCCTCGCCGCTGCCGGGGTAGGAGGGGAGACGTGAGCGGGGCGGGGGTGGCTCGTCCTGGGCTGCCGGGGGACGAGGCCGTACCGGTGACAACACCAGGGTCTTCACCACAGCTCCTGGACCGCGGCACCCGGGTCCCTCCCTGTCCCTCCCAGGTCCCTCCCCGGTCCCGGTTCCCGCTCACCGCCAGCCCCGCTCCCCGTGAAGGGCTCGGCCTCAATCCCAGCGCTCCCGGGCAGTCCCATCGCGCCGGGCCCGCG